TGCAATTTAGTTCTTAAGTTATATGAAATCAAACTTTCTTTTATTTTACTATAATTTTTTGTATAATTAAAAATAAATGTATTTACAGTACGTATAATTGTGATTTTCTTTAACGTTAAATCTGATTAATTTTTTAAAGGTTTTTACGTATAAACCAGCTATACACGCAGTAAAAGGGTACTACGGAATTCGATTTCTCTTCATTACCGGAGTTGTTACCGCGTGTCACATGATTCTATTTCATAAAACTCAGAATTGCCTCTAAAAGATGGGATTGTACGTACATTTTCTACTAAGCTTTATATTGTGTGCAAATAAACATGGTGAGTTTTATTTATGTAAGCGAGAAAAAAATCATTATAACAATTGCTCTAATCTTGTTATCCTCCTATCGTTGCAGAATACGTTAAAAACAGCGCAAAAAGAAAAGGTTAGGCAATTTATGACCTTTACAAATGCCAGGTAAAAGAAATTCACTAGTGACGTCAAAAAGATGCATTGGAAGAAATAGATCTCTTACTTTGTCTACTTGATTACCTAAATAATGTCAGTGAAAGGGTCTCCATCCGGAAACTCAGAGAATTCAACTGGAATGTAGAAGTTGCAGTAGACGCTTTCTTTAACGATCAACCTAGCTCCTGGAGATCCTTTGGAAGCTCGCAAAATGCTGGAAACCCAGATGTTTATAAACTTAATCAAATATTCTCAAAATATAAAGGTACTCTGGGTTTACAAAAAAAAAAAAAAGTCAAAAGCCTAATTTGCGAATGATCGCTGCCGAAGTTCTCGGGAAGAGACAAGGAGATTAAATGTCTCATTATTTCATGATGCTTTTGTAATTAACCGCGAAAATTAGGCATTTAAATCAATACTACTTACTCATATGTCACTTAACTTTCAAATAGATAAAGAGGAAGATGCCATTTTAGTAGATGGAATGTTAGAGTATTGTAACGATTTACACGTTCAACCTGAAGATGTTGTTATGCTGGTTATTGCATGGAATCTTGAGGCTGATAAAATGTGTGAATTTAAACGCCAAGGGTTTATCAATGGATGGACAAAATTAAGGTGTGGTGATGCATAATATCGTTAAATTTTTGTCTGGAATCTTTTTTTTAAATTGTTAATAAATAGTACGTATTATATATATATTATTTCAACCTTTTAACAATGTTTAGATGCGATTCAATTGAGAAAATGCGCGCTGCCATACCTCGACTTCGAGCGTCGTTGAATGATGAAGCCACATTTAAGGAGATTTACCAATTTACATTTAAATTTGGATTAAGCGAAAACCAAAAGTCCTTGAGTATGTCTATAATTAGAATTTTATTCTTTATCGTAATAAGAGTGTAAAAAAAAAAATTTTTTTTATTATTTTGAAATTTGAAATTAGGTCTTGACGTCGCGATAGAATTCTGGCGGATGTTATTGAGTGAACGTTGGCCACATCTTGAAATATGGATAGAGTTTGTCAAGGTAAAAATAAATATCACGAAAAAAAATATATCTTGTACTTAAAGAAATTAAATAAATCCTCTATTATTAATCGTGATTTAGGAGAAGCATGGCAAATCGATTTCCAAGGATACATGGAATCTAGTATGCTATAATTTTCGATCAAATTTCGGTTAAAATTTTGCTTTAAAAAATTGAAAAATTTATTCTTTCAATATGTAGCTACTGGATTTTATCAAACAAATCAATGTCGAGCTTTCAAATTACGATGCCGAAGGTAAGAAATCTAAATTAATCAATAATATATTTTATAATATCTAAATTGACTCCCAAATTTATTAAGGCGCTTGGCCCGTTCTTATCGATGAGGTATGTTTACTAAAATAATTTTGGCATTATTTTTTTGTTATACAGTTTTTCTTTTTCACATCTATATATATATATATTTATTTATTTATTCTAATTTATATTAATAGTTTGTGGATTACTGTCGAGAAAAATTGCAATTGCCAGCACCGCCAGCACAGCCAGCATCTTAAGTTTAAATTTGACGTATTTGTAAAACAGTGCTAGTAATAATTAATGAGTTGTATGCATATATCATATGGTATATTGAAATTTTTATTGTAAAAAGCTTCATCCTAAATTAAACTAGGCAATCGTAGCACTGTAACTTTTTTTTTTTTTTTTGTTTTGTTTTTTTTTTTTTTTTTTGTCAAAATCATTTATTCAGGTTCACGAGACTTCACCCTAGTTTATTGGATTGTCAGTTGAGAGTATTTTTTTGTTTAGAAAATTTATATTTCGTAAAAGCTGCAGGACTTGGATTTCATAAAATTTTAAATAAAGCCCTTTATTATAGGTGTTTTACGAGTCATCTGAGGCATTTATTACAGATTTGGAATAAGACTTTCAAATTTATTGTTTACTAGTGCTAAAAACCCCCCAATGAAACACCGTTTCCTTTTAGTCTTGTTGTGCTACGGTTCGGCAAATTGCGTAGTTTTAACAACTATTTAACCGTAAGTATTGTGAGCGATATACAAGATTAACTCTAGATGCAATTGACTAGTCGTGTATATTAGAGATTCTGATGAAATTAATTTCACCAATTTAACGCAATTTCACCAATAGTGGTGAACTTATTTCACTAGTGTTTATTTTTGTATCTACACTAATGACTTAAATATCTTGACAACCAAATTTATTAGATAACCCTTTTTCTTTATATATTTACACGTTCAAAAAGTACATACTTTTAATGGAGTAATCCAAAAACACTATTGAATCTCTAATTATAACTATATCAATGCGCAGCACAGAAGCGCACATTTTTTGTTTGAATTGATATGCGTGACAGTTGCAGTTTTTTTATTTGTTGCGCACGATAAATTTTAATAAATAGTTAACACTGATTATATAACGGCTATTAGTTTTTTTCTCTAGTACCCATAGGTATAAAACTAAAACTTATTAATTTATTTATAGTATGTAGCTACTTATCATTATTTTCAAAATATAGTTAACTGATTTGTCACATTTAAATTTTTATATATATAAATTTATAGCAAAGACATATAGAATTATTTATAAACTTTGAAGCTTTGATATCTTTTTCCTTACATATTACCTTTACAATTAAATATATCAAGGAAAGAAGAATAAAATGTTTTTTAAACTGAATTAAAATTTTGCAATTTTGACACAATTTGAAAATGTAATTCTATTAAAAATTTTTTTTGAATATTAATGGTGAGATCATGTGTTAAAAGAATAAATTTAATAGTTTTAAAGCAATAATTATATGTAAAATTATTCTTTGAACAATTTCACTTAGAGAGTAAAAAAAGGTTAGTAAAAAAAAGTTTGTTATATATATATATTTTTTTTTTTAAGAGTGAAACCTGATCTCAGTTTTTTATTAATAACATTTTGTATTATTATAATTTAATATCAAGATATTTTTACATATTTTGAAATTAAGCTATCTAAAAACTTTCAACTAAGACTAATTTATCTTTGGCCTAGGCTTTACTAAGAGAAGGCACATAGTTCTCACTCAGATTGTGTTTAGTATATTGTGTTGGAAGATGCATTGTGCATATAGAATTTTTTGGTTTATCTTATCTATTTATCTTGAGTTGTTTGCTGTATATTATAGTCTGTGTTCATTTGTATATTTTGTTTATTTGTGTTTTGTGTAGAATTGTTATTTGTATTTTGTTTTTAGTTATTACTTGTTGTTTGGGCTGTGATTTTGCAACAGTTTTTCCATGTTTGATTGTAGATCGTTTTTGCAAATTTTGTGAAGTAGCTTGACTGTATTAGGATTTGTTTTGTTTATAGTAAGTGTGATCGATTTTAGGTTTTGTTTGAATACATCTGTAATGAGGCCTTGAATTAAGATTATAGTATTGCTATTGATTATAGAATTAAAATTATTGAAAAATTTATCTATAAACTCTTGTTTTTTACTATTTGTTGCTGTGTTTTTTTGATTTTGTCTATAAACTTTCTAACTATATTGTTTATAAAGATATTTATATTAGTTGGATTTATTGGGCATATTAGCCAGTATATGTTTGTTTTATTTTCTGTATTGTATATTTTGCATTGAGTTTCTAGATATTTGTGTAGATTTCGTTTATTTAGATTTTGGAGGGTTGGCAGTTCATCTAAAAGAAGTTAGTTTGAAAGCCTTTAGTTTGGAGTAGATTGGGTGTATTTGTCGAGCTGTTGATATATCATTGTAATTAATGAATATGTATATTAATTCCCAATCAATGTTTTATATGTTAGTCCACTTTTGTGTCTAATTTTGCGAGTGTCATATAGCTAGATTTTTTATGTTTTGTATATTTCTAATTAATCTTAATTTTTGTATTGTTGTGTGATTGAACCATGTGAGTGTATATGTTGTATAGTCAACTTGTTAAAATTGTGATATTATTTCTTGTGTGTTAGCATCGAAGGTTGTTTTAGTGTGTAATTTTGTAAATACTGAAGATTCGCTTGGTATTAGTATTAGTTCTAGTTAAATATCTTTCCTTGCTATAAGTGCAAAAACATTGTACTAGTATGGTTAGTATTAGTTTTTTGTTATGATATTCTTCTTGTTATATTTGATTGTATTGTATTGTTGGTATGTATTGATAATATAGATTGCTATTGTAAGTATTTATAATGTTGTATTGATTGGTATAATTGCTATTAGTGTTATGATTGCTGTTAATATTGCAATAGTTTTTAATGGTCAGTTTGTAATTTTGTTAGTTAGTTTAATGTTAGTTTGGCAAATTTTCTAAGTGAATCTGTATATGGGTTGTCTGGTATTTATATCTTTATATGTTATTATTATTGTGTTTGTTTCTTTGTATATAATAATATCTTTTGTTATTTTAATTAATGTTGTGTTAATTGTAGTCACTAGAAACAGCTATTGCATATTTATCTCTTAGATTGTAGTAGAACGCAGACAAATTTGCCTGCGTTTTTACACTTTTTTAGCTCTGATTTATTTTTTTAAAAAA